CTAGTTTTAACTGGGAAAGGACTTGTGTCGCTGAAGTTCCTCAGGAAGAATTTAGACCAGAAATGAACAAACGAGCACATACATAACAAAATACTAAAAGTGAAAGTATGGTTTCTGAATGATTTCAAAATGTTCGAAAAGAAACATTAATCGTATGAAAATCATAAAATATAGGGTAAGGATTTAACTAAAATATAATTGATTAAGATTATAAGCAATTAGAGCTAGCTGTGTTATAAAAGTTAACATTAAAATGGGCTTAATATCAAAGTTATTTTTTTATCTGAATGTTGCTTTAAAGTGATAAATTTGGACTTAATTTGAAAATAATTAGTCTTAAGTACACTTTTAGAATTAAATATAAATTAAAAAGATCTTCGTTCTTTTTTCGGCTTTATTGGTAGTCTTTTATTTAAATTTGAACACAACAACAACAGTCATCTGCAAGTGCTTGACTGTTGCAATGCTATTTCCAAGCACAAACTGCTCTGAAAAGACAATACCTGGTCAGATTTAATTACTTCCTGTTTGGTGATTGTATCAGTTTTGTACATTTCTCTCCCTCTCTCTCTATATATATATATGTGTGTGTGAAATGATAACTTATTGTTGTGTATAAAATATCAGATATGATAACAACGATAATATTAAATTAACTGTAGAAGTTTGATGGTTAACCTTCTGTAAACTCGATGTTAAATTGAGAATAATAGCAGAAACGTCGCCCTACGGGCGGCTCTTTCTGTTCCTTATTACTAATCCTATTATTCATACCGCATTGAAATAAATTTAGAAAAATGTGAACGTTTTTCAAAAAATGATTTTCCTGGGAAGTACTGCACGGGAAAAGTGTTCGGATTTTGCTGATATAAACTGTAATGTTTTTATATGTTAAAAGTGGTAGCCTTTCCTGAAAAAGTAAGTTTTTTTAATAACTCCATGTTTTTATTACTATATTTACAAATTACGTCAATAAAGACGTACAGTTCTGGTGAAGGTCGTGTTCTTGTTATGAGTAGAGTACTTTTATTTAAAATTGTGTTCTGTTATAAAGAAATAGTTGTTACACATACCGTAGATATTTTTCTGATTGTCCGAATCTTAAATACCTAAAGTGTGAAATGTTTTATGGATTTATGTTTGTTGTGCCATTCAGTAGATGGCGCCATATTGTATTTATCATTTCGCTCACATACATAGATACATATATAGTACATTTATAGTAAGAAGTAAGATTTAAATGAGATTTCTACACCTATTGTGAGAATCAGTTTAAGTTGCTATGTTTGGTTCTGATCTACGTGTAGCTTGCTTTGATCAGAAGTTAATATTAATTTATCCCCGTTTTTGAATATTTTGAATTGTTAATGAGTAGAACGTTGGTCTTTTCATAATTGTGAAGTCGTGAAGTTAGGTTGTGTTGTAACAGAGTGTAGATGACGATATGTATATAACTGTAGGATTTATGTCTTTTACAGGCAGAACTATCTTCTTGAGGAGCAGTGGTAAGATTGAGGGCTAATAACGCTCAAACTCTGGGTTCGATATTCAACAGAGATAGTCCACTGTATAACTTTGAGCTTTAAAAACAAACTTCAGAGCTAAAATTTCCACTTGCTGGAGGAGCTAGGCCTTATATTTTTGTATCATTTACCGACATTCTTATCCTAGTTTTTTTACTGTCATGAATTGTGGGATCCAGCGTTGTAAGTCCGCGGACTTGCCGCTGTGCCATTGGGGGACTTTTTATAAGTTAAAATAGTCTTAGTTATTGGTATAATATATATGTATAAATATATATCGCATTATCGTTATCGGTCCAGGTTGCAATGCGCCATTATCCGTTATGATAGCATGGACCGCTAACAGTATTGCGATGTTTAATTCATTATTATTTTATAGTGCTGATTTAATCGCCTATAAACAATTAATGTAACCAACAGTTTGTAAGCTATATATATGTATATTAATGCACTTATCTATATATTAGTAAGAATCTGTGGAAAATGAATGAATTTACTTTGAAAATATTAAATTTATTTACTTTGCTAGTGGGGTCTGAATTCACGCCGACACATAAAATTAATTAATTTTGAAAATATCGTCAGTATCGGTTGACGGTTTGGTGTAAATATTATTAATAAAAAGTGCAACAGCACATATTTATAATATATATATTTTTATCTATTTATTTACAATAAATATATGTCTTACTATGAGGATTAATGATATTGTTAGCTTAGTATACGGATTCAATAATAAGCTAAATCTCCAAAGTTGACTGAACCTCGAAAGATGTTATTGGGATTTTGGCCGAAAATATCGATAAGAGCATTCTAATCATTATAAGTTATACTTTATGACACTTCGTACTCGTAATTTGATTGGTATGTTAAATTGCTGGATTAGTTAGTGGGTTAATCTTCATTCCTAACCATACAGGTAGCTTGTTTTGATGATTACTATTTATTTGACTAGAATGTTTGTTTGTTGAATTTCGTGCAAAGCCACTCGGGAGTTGCCTGCATTAGAAGTGATAGAACGGCATCTCCCCACCCCCAACTCTTGGACTACTCTTTACCAACGAATAGTGGGATTGACCGTCATATTATAAAGCTGAAATGGCAAATGTGTTCGGTCACGGGATTCGATCCTGCGAGCGCGTTAACCGCCAGACTATGTCAGGCAGTGAGTGGTAGTGTATATCGACATTTGTATTTGTATGTGAAGAGGAACGAGTTAATAACAACAAACAACAAACAACAAAAAAAAAAGGGTGTCTTCAAACAACATTCAAAAATATTTAATTTCTATTACTTTTTAACGAAGATTTGCGGGGGCGAGGTGAAACACCTACACTGACATACTGTTGCCCCTGCGTTCTGCAACACAGTCAGCATAGAAGTCCCATTCTGCATGGCTGTCTAACGGTCACAGATGAAATATTTATGACCTGTTCATACAACTGGCACAACCAATGTATCAGTTCGTCACGCGGTAAACGTTTTTTTTTTTTGATATATTTATCTTATCACATGTATATATCTCCCACTGAACATTATCATTCGTCATTCGATAAAAACTTTTCTTTCACTAGAACAGTTTATTCGGGGTAAAGATAAGAGAAACCTGCAAGTCCCAATATAGTGAGTGTGACCTATAGGACTTAGAACATAGCAGTTTAGAGAAGTAAAACAGTCACCTACTGAAATGTCACTACCAAAGTATATTGTAACTATCCTTTTGAGTACGTTGTTTATACTTGTTGACCTTGGCCATGCTAGACATAAGTTACTACTGGTATCATTTGACGGTTTTCGCTACGACTACATCGGGAAATACAAAACTCCTAATTTTGACCGCGTAGCTCAAGCCGGTGTACGTGCTCAGCTAGGGGTTCAGACTGCGTTCGTAACGAAAACGTTCCCTGACCATTACACTATAGCTACAGGTAAGATCTTTTACTTTCTTTCTTGATGTGTTATTTTTCTATTAAAACAATCATAAAGAAAAGGAAACAAAAAATGTTTAGGTTCCAGGTTAGAAAAATAAGTTGACTCAATTTGTTTTTGAAATTCGCGCAAAGCTACACGAGGGCTATATGCGCTAGCCGTCCATAATTTAGCAGTGTAAGACTAGAGGGGCATGGTTGTTGTTTGTTATTAAGCACAAAGCTACACAAATGGTTATCTGTGCTCTGCCAACCACGGGTATCGAAACCCAATTTCTAGCGTTGTAAGTTCGCAGACATATACCGCTGTGCCACTGGGGGAGGGCGCGATGTGGAAAGGCACGAGCGCACGCTGTCATTTTTTTCGCTACGTTTTACAATATTTATGAGCTACCTTAAAAAAACAAATACTACTGATTCACTTAGTGCTATAGTAGTATCTTGGTGCTTTATTAAGTTAACTAGGCCCAGCATGGCCTAGTGGTTAGGGCGCTTGACTCGCAATCTGAGAGCCGCGGGTTCGAATCCCCGTCACACCAAACATGCTCGCCCTTTCAGCCGTGGGGGTGTTATAATGTTACGGTCAATCCCACTATTCGTTGGTAAAAGAGTAGCCCAAGAATTAGTGGTAGTGGTGGGTGATGATGACTAGCTGCCTTAATACAATACGAAGTTACAGAATGTATTCAGTAGCAGTTGACTTAAAACTTTATTTCAAACTAACAGGACTGAGAATTAACACCTGATAAAATGAGTTGATTAATAAACAACAGAACTTTTGAAATTTAGGATTTTTGACAATCTTTTGTCCACAGTAAAGTAAAGTTCTAATGATGGAGCTTTTTACGTTAATCAATAAATATATTCCAAAACCAGTTTAACAGATCTACATCAAATTAGCCTTTGACTCGTTCAATACTAACAAATTTTTTTGATAAGCTAATACCATGAGTACTCAAAGGAAGTTGTTATATATTTCCGACAATAAGTTAATTTTTGTTTGTTTGGAATTAAGCGCAAAGCTACACAATGAGCTATCTGTACTCTGCCCACCACAGATATCGAAACCTGGTTTTTAGCGTTGTAAGTTCGCAGACATACCGCTGTGCCACTGGGGGAGGGGCTAATAAGTTAATACCACGAGTAATCAAGGGGTTTTGTTATCTACTTCCGACAATCAGCTAATATCACGAATAATCAGTTGTTGTTGTTGTTTTTGTTATTTATTTGCTACAAATCTGCAAGAAGCATGTAACGAAATACATTCGCAATATCTACAGCAAATCTCCGAATTTGAAAAGAGCAAAAGTCATGAATAATCAGTTCAGACTCTGCAAAACTTAAGAAAAATTTGAAACCTCCCCCATCTCTACAATAAACTAAATATAGGCTTAGATACAGTTATAGCACGAGGGAAGAGTTAATCTTCATAAAGAGCACGATGACAGGAACACATTATATAATTCCATATACATATAAGCACATATACACACATATAAATCAATAGAAGCACTCTGCCATCCATGTGGTATCTCTGTGTGGAGTTGTTAGTTTCATTTATTGTTTGTTTAGTACTTACAATTTACAAACATTATATAATTTCTCATTATTATTTCTTACATTTGCCGCTGAGTTTTAAGTATCCTATGTACTGATTAATATCTTTGCGTCGAAAATGTTACTTTATTTCTATTTTATTTTTTACTTATCGTTTGCACAATTCAATTTCAATTTCTTCGGTATGAAAGGCCCGGCTCAGGCTGACTTAAACACATACTGTTAAAGGTCCGGCCTAGGCATAATAAGATACGTGCTGTTAAAGGCCTGGCTCAGATGAAATAAGACACATAGTGTTTAAAGACCCAGTTCAAGTGTAATAAAATATATATTGTTAAAGCATGGCTCAGGTGGGATAAGACACATACTGTTAAAGGTCCGGCCTAGGCATAATAAGATACGTGCTGTTAAAGGCCTGGCTCAGATGAAATAAGACACATAGTGTTAAAGACCCAGTTCAAGTGTAATAAAATATATATTGTTAAAGCATGGCTCAGGTGGGATAAGACACATATTGTTAAAGGCCCGGTGCAAGTGTAATAAAATATGTATTGTTAAAGCCATGGCTCAGGTGTAATAAGACACATATTGTTAAAGACCCAGTTTAAGTGTAATAAAATATGTATTGTTAAAGCATGGCTCAGGTGGGATAAGACACATATTGTTAAAGGCCCGTTGCAAGTGTAATAAAATATGTATTGTTAAAGCATGGCTCAGGTGGGATAAGACACATATTGTTAAAGGCCCGGTGCAAGTGTAATAAAATATGTATTGTTAAAGCCATGGCTCAGGTGTAATAAGACACATATAGTTAAAGGCCCGGTTCAAGTGTAATATAATATGCATTGTCAAAGGCCTTGCACGGAGCGTAATAAGATGTGAGGTTAGACTTTCTTCAATCGATTTCGTAATCTATGATTAGGAAATTCCTATGCAATACATGATAATTACAACACTAGAGGTTGAACTTTGAGATACAAGGAGAAAAGTTATAATAAAATTATACTACCAATAAGGGATATACTCATACTAGACCTTGTTAGGAACAGCTTTACATCTGTTGTGGTGGCTGGGATGTGGTAGAACCAAACATTTCAACATGTCATGATGGAGTATTTGCTAGAAGAGCTCTTACGTATATGAATAATAAGGATGCAATTATTAGAGGTTTGAACACAGCAGACCTCGATATTTGAGTAAATTCTGGATAGAACATCACTGCAAGATATGAAGTAACACCACACAAAAGTACGTCAGAGTTAGTCACCTTAGAAACTAAATTTGAAGTTAGATTTGATGTTAAATCTTCACATAAGGAAAGCTTCCCTCCTCATTTTACAAAAGCTGTGCGACCAATCTGTGAATATTTCCCAACTGATCAATGCTGCATGTTACATGACTTGCTGAGAGAACACCGAGATACCAGCTCCATTGGACACACAAATAAAATATCTCCAAAGACTGATAGTTTAGAGATTCAGCCACAATAAGTCAATTTACCAGACGCCTACTCTGCAAAATAGGTTGAGGATTTCAAAGAAATAGAAGCCATAAATGAACAGGGAGTAATAGAACCAAATACTAGTAATTGGACATTGCGTTTTGTACTTAAGAAGAAAAATGGATCCAAAAGGTTTTTCGTGGATTACCAGATAGTAAATGAACTCACGAGGAAGGATGTAAACCCACTGCTAAAGATTGATTATACTTTATCTGAGTCAAAATGAGTTTCAGCTCTTGATAGACGAGTGGACACTGGCAAGTGTAAGTCAATGAAACAAGTAGTAAAAAGCCTTTATTGCAGAAAATGGGTTATGATAATTTGTTGTGTTACCATTTAAGTTATGTAATACACCTTCTACAACTGAATGGCTAATGGAATGTGTTCTTTCTGCACTACCCTGGAACGTCGTACTCTTCTTCTTGGATGATATAATTGCATGGACAATAAATCTTGTGATTGACTAAAAAAAGTACTGGATCATTTGAGGAAAGAGAATTTTAAGCTGAACCTCAAAATATGTGAATTGTTCCATCAAGAGTTGAGTTTCCTGGGACATATATTCAGTTAAAAAAAATGTTTACAGACACAACAAAGATTGAATATTTTATTAACAACTGTTCAACAATAAGAAATTCAACGGTGTAGGAACATTTCTGGGATTGTGTTCCTACTATCATTGTTTTATACAATTATTCTCTGACATAGCTCATCCTATGCACAATATATTAAAATATCATCAAGTTTTGCTGGACTGCTGACTGTAAACAAGCATTCAACACACTAAAGAAAGAATTAACCACTACTCCTGTACAAACAAGTTTTGCTGAACTGCTGACTACAAACAAGCATTCAACAAACTAAAGAAAGAATTAACTACTACTCCTGTACAAACAAGTTTTGCTGAACTGCTGACTACAAACAAGCATTCAACAAACTAAAGAAAGAATTAACCACTACTCCTGTATAAACAAGTTTTGCTGGACTGCTGACTGCAAACAAGTATTCAACA